ATGCCATGTATGTACATGAGCAGAGGACAGGCAGTGTGACCCAAATGGCTCCTGCTTAGCAGTCTGCTCACATCTTTCTCCCACAAAGAATGTTCAGCTTTCTTTGTCTAAAATGTTGAGTGGTTATGAATAGTAAGGATAGACTATCTGTAATTATTTTTAAATTATTAATGGTTTTGTTAGATCCCTTCACTTTTACATTAGGTTTCTGTTAATGTAAGTTAAATCAAAACGTACTTCAGTTCCAGGCAGCTCCCAAATGTATTTTTCATTCTTTCATAACATTACTTCAACTTCTCGATGAGGTGTCTGTGATAAAGTTTGCTCCCGAGCCGGCAGACTCCCAGTCCTAATGAATTCAGCAGAAGCAGCACCGAGCAGGCTCCCATCAGCCGAGCTAGATGGCAAACAAGGAGGCCAGAGCTGCATTGCCAGTTAATGTAGTACCCCCAGCTCGCAGGTGTCATACCCTATTCATAAGGAAGACTGAGGAGGCCACGGGAGTATCATTAAAGACAAGGGGGGAGTTTATCAGCATAACTGAGTTACTTTATTGGCACTTTCCATTACACCAGACACTCCTGATCAGGAAATATCTGCCTAGCGCCTTACTCGGGGCTCAGACGTCGCAGGCGGTGAGGAGTGGGTATCTCACACCGCCCTGCCTGCATCCCTGCCCCCGGAGATGCTCTCAGCCGGGGCGAAGGGCTCAGCTCAGCGCCGGACGACCCCAAGCTATATTCTATCTCCTCCAGAGAGCCCCCCAACTCCTTCCGTTGTCCCTCGGTTTGGCGGGGTCCGGGAGCCCGGGGCTCCGCCGGGACGGGACGACCTCTGGCCCGCCACTGCCTGCCGAGGGGAGCGGCGTCGGGGAGGGGAGCTTGCGGTGTTAAACGCATGCATTCAACACAAACGCCACGAAAATGTCTGGATAAATTATGCAGAGGGATTTCTGGATTTCTTTCAAGTAATTAAGTTTCGATTTCTTGCATTTATTTTAGTGCCAGGAAGCACGAGGCGCCACGGACGGCAAAAGTCTTCATTGATCGTTCCGGGCTTTAAGTTTGACTTCGTGACTTGACTTTGCCTGCGGCGGCGGCGCGGCCCCGGCGAGGCCGAGGGGCGGCGGGGCCCCGCCAAGGTTGCATCCCCGGTGCCTGCCCATACAGAAACCAGATTTGGAGGGAAGGAGAGGGGAAGCCGGAACCGGTGCAGGCAGCGGTGCCGGGCTGAAGGGGGCGAGGCTGCAGGGGGTGCGGCCCGACGGGGCGGCCTGTTCCGGTAGCTGCCGCCACGGCGCGGATTGCAGCCATCCGTTTGAACCCGCGGAGGCGGGAGCGGGTGTCCCCTCTTGAGCACCAGGGGAGCGGCGGGGAGGCTGCAGGGGCAGCCCCCCAGGTAGAACTGGGGCTGGTGCTGCCCCGTGCTCACAACAAAGGTAGAGTTTGCTCAAAGTGTAGCCCGCATCTTCATGGATTAAAAATTCATAGGGCGCATTAGGTTCGGTAAAATATGAATGTGCGTCTTTAAATTTTAATCGTAAATCAGAACATGGATACATGAGAGGCGACAGTGATTTCTCCCCAGATGTCTGCGTGGGTCAGGCTGTGGGCGTGGGCAAAGAGAGGGAGGGCTCTCCTTTTATTTAGGAGGCCCGACGGTGCTCAGAGCCGGCTGTGGTGCCCGAGGCCCCGGAGGACAGTCGTGCTGCTGGGGGGCGGCGGGGGCTCCACCGCTGCTGCCGCTCTCCTGGGCGTCCCTCGCCACAGCAGGCAGAGGGTGCAGCCGGGCAGCAAAAGCAAACAAACACCTCCCAAAACCACAGGAAACGGGGGCAATAGGGAAAGGCAGCGGTGGCGGGGCCGCGGGCAGCGGGTTACCGGGGCTTCGCGGGGCCCGGCCCTCAGCCAGTCCCCTTCTCCTGGGGTGCCACCGGCAGGAGCGGCCTCCGCGGGGACCCTATGGGGCCACCCGGAGCCCGACACCGAGGAAAGTTTTCCCAGCTGTGCCACCGCGCTGCTCCGCACCCTGCTGCACCCCGGGCGCGGCCGCTCGGGGCGGCGGTGAGCGCTCCGCGTTTCGGAGGATGGGTTGTCAGCTGCTATTAAAATCAAGATTAATTCATATTAACGATATGCGTTCTCAGTTCTCCCGTGTGACAGCATACATTAGAACAACTATTGCGAGTAATTAAACTCCGTGCGGGAGGGGTTAAATGTATAACGTGGAGGGGGTTTATCCTCGCCCTTCTCTCTGCCGAAGTTCAGCGGGTGAGCCGGACGGGCAAAGCCCCTCCACGGCTCCGCGGACCCGGCGCCAACGAAGTGTTTTCTTCTTCTTCTTCTTTTTTTTTTTTTTTACCTCTCTTTCTCCCTTCCATCAGGAAGCGGGAGGTTTCCCTCCTTCGCCCGCACGCACCTCCTGGCAAGCCAGGGCTGAAGCGCGAAGGGCTGCGGCAGGGGATGGAGTGCGGGAGCGGCCGGGATCGCGGAGGGAGGTGGAGAGAGGCGGGGGCACGGGCAGCCTCCTCCCCGCCAGCCCCTGCCTGCCACGGGTGGGCCGCGCCCTGCCTGGGCCCTGCCCGGGTCTAGTGAAATAAGGCAAAAATATTCTTGATGGTTTTTCTCGGGCGTTGGAGATGCTCGGTGCTTTCGAGTAATTAGACAAGCCAAAAGCCTTTTGAAGATGAAGCAAATTGGACAACCCTTGTTAATTAGAACATAATCTAAAGTTTGAAATTATATCACTCATGAAGTAGCCTAATTAAGATGACGATATGTTAATAGCCTACTGAGACGCGAGGCGCAGAGGTTTGGCATGAACTCCTTAAAGGCTTGCAAGAAAATCCTCTTTCCTATGTTGTCATTAATAAAAGATTTCTATAGACTTCAGCCTTTCAACGGTGACATACAATTTATAGTACACACAATGCATTAGCCCATAGTGCTGCTCAATTTTTTTACTATTATGAAAACTAATAAATTCGTCAAGCTGAATTAAGCATACAAATCAGATGAGGCATAACAGATTACATATTGAAGCGCTGTGTCTCCCGAGCCTAAATGAAATTTCAATCTAATAATTCCTTCCTGGCCCGGCCATAATTTGTTTAGAGATGTTGTTCTACTTCTTTCCAAGCGCTATTCGCACCATAATTAAATGATACTCAAGCTTTTAACTTTGATTTATTTCGTTTCTCCGAGCTGGCGACAGTGAGAGCTGATACAATGTAATTTTTTTTTTTATTTATTTCCCTTAAAATTACTAAGTCTGCTGTTTAGGTGAGAAATTAAACACCTAAGCACTTATTTTAACCTTCTGCTGCAAAGTGAAATTCATGGAAATAAACCTGGCCGCTGCCAGTAAAATTGACTTTCGCCGATTTCTTTTCTCTTTCTTTTGTTTTTCCCTTCTTCTTTTTATTTCTTTTCCTTTTCTCCTCTTTCCAAGGCAGCGGCAGGGGGAAGTTGCCGGGACAGCGCTGCCCTTCTGCAGGACGATCCCTCCAGCTCCCCGCCTGCGGGGAAGGGGGACACCAGGAGGGAGACATTCCCGGGACGCTTCTCCCTGTCCTCCCCTCCGCCGCCCCCCCCGGAGCGGAGAACGGGACCAGTGCAGCTCCCGGAACACTCCCCGGGTGCGGGGTCGTTGTGAGGAGCCGGGACGGGACTTTTCTTCTTCTTTTTTTTTTTTTTTTTTGTTTTGTTTTGTTTAATTTTATTTTTTTTTATTTCATGGCGGTAGATTTGAGGCGGGGGCTCCTCCCCTCCCCCGCGCCTTTTTTTTTCCTTCTTTTTTTTTTTCCCTTCTTTTTTGGCTCTTTCCCTCCCCGTTCTGTGAGGCTGCGGGGCGCTGCGCGGCCGTGAGTGCCGGAGTAAGCATGGGGGTGGCGGGGGGCGGGCAGGGAGCGGCAGCGGGGGGGTCGGGGCCGAGGAGGCAGGCGCGGAGGGGCCCTTCCCGAGGAGTTGGGCTGTAGTGACAGGCGAGAGGGGAGGGGAGGGAGGGGAGAGAGTAAAACCCACCGGCGCGGCGGCGGGGAGGGCACTTCGAGAGAGGCGAGAGCCGGCGCCGGAGCGGAGGCGGCGGCGGACGGCGGCGAGCGCCGGAGCGGAGGGCGGGCAGGAGGCAGCCCGCGCATCCCCGGCTCGCCGCAGCCGCCTCTCCCGACAGCGTCCCCCCGGCGGGGCTCGTGCGGGAGGCGGGGGCCGAGTCGGATTTTTTTAATTTTTATATTTTTACTTTTTCGCGCTTGGAGGCGCGGAGGGGGGGAGGGGCCGGGGCTCCTGTGGCTTTTCCGGGGGGTCCGGGCCCCCGGCCCCGTGCCCCTGCCCTCCTCCGGCGGCTGCCTACCGGCGGGCCGGACCGCGGCGAGCACCATGATGATGTCCCTGAGCAGCAAGCAGCCCTTCGGCCTCCCCCACGGCGGCGGTGGCAGCGGCAGCCTTCACGAAACCAAGTATTCGGCCCTGCACAGCGCCTCGCCCTGCCCCTCCGCCGCAGCTGCCGCCCCAGCCGCCAGCTCCCCCAGCAGCAACGGCACCAGCGGCTCCGCCGGACGCGGCTCCGGACCCGGCAGCAGCAGCTCCGGCTCCGGCTCGGGCTCGGGCTCCGGCGGCGGCAGCGGCGGCGCGGAGGCGATGCGGCGGGCCTGCCTGCCCGCCCCTCCGGTAGGTGCCCGCCGCCCGCCGCCCCGCTTTAAGGGGAACCCCTTGGCGGCCCCCGGATCCGCCTGATGTTTTTTTCATGGCCGCGCAGCAAATCACCCGGCGCCGCCGGGCGCTCGCCCAACTTATGCATGCGGCGGCTCCTGCCGCCCGTATTAATTTTTATGACCTGGGATGCTGCGTGCGGCTGGTGTGTGTGTCCGCCCGCCCGCCCGTCCGTCCGCCCGTCTGCCCGCCGCTGGCTGCCTCTGTGCGAGCGGCTGCGCGCCGCGCCCGCTCCCTCGCCCCGCTCGCTCCCTCTTCTCCTCCCCCCTTCTCCAACCTCCCCCCTCCTCCCCTGCTCCAGGATTTCTCTTTTAACATGCTGGGAAGGTTTTAGTGGCACGGCGGAGTGCGCGGGGAGGCGAATTCCCTGCTGAGCGTTATGTGTGCCTTCTATTTGCAATTGCAGAGCAATATATTCGGCGGTCTGGACGAGAGCCTGCTGGCCCGCGCCGAAGCCCTGGCAGCGGTGGACATCGTCTCCCCGAGCAAGAGCCACCACCACCACCCGCCGCACCACAGCCCCTTCAAGCCGGACGCCACCTACCACACCATGAACACCATCCCCTGCACCTCGGCCGCCTCCTCCTCCTCGGTGCCCATCTCCCACCCGTCCGCCCTGTCGGGCACCCACCACCACCACCACCATCACCACCATCACCACCACCAGCCCCACCAAGCGCTGGAGGGGGAACTCTTGGAGCACCTGACGCCGGGGCTGGCGCTGGGGGCCATGGCGGGCCCCGACGGCGCCGTGGTCTCCACGCCGGGCCATGCTCCGCACATGGCCGGCATGAACCCCATGCACCCGGCTGCGCTGGGCATGGCCCACGGCCACGGGCTTCCCGCCCACATGGGCTGCATGAGCGACGTGGACGCAGACCCCCGCGACTTGGAGGCCTTTGCTGAGCGATTCAAGCAGCGCCGCATCAAGCTGGGGGTGACCCAGGCCGACGTGGGCTCGGCGCTGGCCAACCTGAAGATCCCGGGGGTGGGCTCCCTCAGCCAGAGCACCATCTGCCGCTTCGAGTCCCTTACCCTCTCCCACAACAACATGATCGCCCTCAAGCCCATCCTGCAGGCCTGGCTGGAGGAGGCCGAGAAGTCCCACCGCGAGAAGCTGGCTAAGCCAGAACTCTTCAGCGGCGCAGAGAAGAAGCGCAAGCGGACCTCCATCGCCGCCCCGGAGAAGCGCTCGCTGGAGGCCTACTTCGCCCTCCAGCCCCGGCCCTCCTCCGAGAAGATCGCCGCCATCGCCGAGAAGCTGGATCTCAAGAAGAACGTGGTCCGCGTCTGGTTCTGCAACCAGCGCCAGAAGCAGAAGCGCATGAAGTACTCGGCTGGCATCTGAGCCGCGGCCGCGGGGAGCCAACAGCATCACCGTAACAGATAATAATAATAATTAAAAAATATATATATAAACAACAGCAACGAAAAAAGCAAGGAAAGGAGGAGCCCCCCTTCCCCAGCCCACTCCACAGCCCGCCCCGCGCCCAACTTTCTGGGGGAATTTCCCCGCGGAGCCGCCGCCCGGACCCGGCCCGGCAAGTACCGCTGGTTTTTATTCTTACAGAACTCGCCTGGGTGCAAGCGCGAAGGGAAATCCTCGTAGCGGCGTGGCCGCGACGCCAGGGCTTCCCCGGGACCGAAACTTAGAACCTAGAGTCGAGGCTTCGCGCTGCGAGAGACGTCTCGAAAGTATTTTGATGTAAATGATGATGATGATAATAATGATAAGAATAATGATGATGATAAAAAGGCAGGGTTTTTTTTCTGCATTTACACTGCGTATTATAAATATATAAATATATATATATTTTTACTGTGGTTATAATCCTTTTCCTTCTCTGAAGTTATAACGCTTAGGGAAAGAGCTGATCCTGCTGTGTTCACTGGTCTTCAAAAGCTATTATTAGATTACTGCCAAACAAGCCCTTGTAAATTATTAATTTATCTCTCTAGCAACTTCATTTCGTGCTCATTCTAATTAATTACACCTCTTTAATCTAAGTCTTCATACAAGTAAAAAAAAAAAAAAAAAGGATAGCGAGAATCAAATATTTTGTGTTGGTAGGATTTTTGAACGTGAGCTTTTTCTCTTCTTCTGAACGTCCCTTTTGGCCATCTGTAAATTGTCACCTAAACCTAAGGTATTTCTCTGGCGAGTATTCTTATTCGTACGGCGTCGGCACCCTGTAGTAGATGTCCTACATTATTTGTGTAGCCTGATTCACTGTCCAAGGTATTTGTTTACCGCGTTACATATTTAATGGGGATTCCCACATTGTCCCCAGCACACGCTGCTCCCGGAGCGAGAAAGGACGCGGCCGCATAGGTGACAGAGGGGAGGGAGGGAGGGTGTTGGGGTTGTCGCTTCGGGTTCCTTGCCAGCACAATATCCGTCTTTCTCAATTTCAGAGATGTATCGCGACGGGATTCAGACTGGTTCGGTTATTTATCTATCTATCCGGTTGCTTATTTATTTATTTATTTATTCGGTCGGTCGGTTATTTATTACCTTTAATCACAATGCTTTTCCACGGAGGAAAAGTCCCTTTTGGAGGTCTGGTTGTAGCAAAGCCAAATTTCAATTTGTAGGAAAGGGAGGGAGCTATGCTGCACTGCTTGTAAATTCACAACTGGTTTGGTACATTTCTATTTGGAACAACAACAATAAACAGAGGGTACTCGGTTGGGTCCCTGTATGGATTGTAAATATTTCATTGGCGCTGAAGAACATATAGATATATTCTTACAGATTCTGCTGTACCGCTGTTCTATCCGAGGCTGTTTTGAAGTCTTAAGTTCTGTACATGTCCCGATTTCGTTTGATTATTTTTGTTTTGGTCAATAGGAGGTTTATTTATTCGAGTAATGTACTAAGTTATTTTTAAATGTTGTTGAATCGTCTTTCATTAAAAAAAAAAAAAAGGGAAAAAGGGTTTTAACGTTTTCTTGTCCAAACGCGTTTGCAGCCTCATGCTTTAAAACCCTCTACCCGAGCTCACCGCCGCCTCCGGGCCGGGGCTTCGCTCAGGCCTCGGAGCCGAAGGGGTGGTGTCGGGGTCCCCCAAATCGCGGAGCTGCGGAGGGGGGAATTAGGAGAGTGGCCCGAGGGTGCGGGAAGCACCATGGACAGCGCCTAGGTTGTCGTGGGCAAGCGTGTGCGTGGCCAGAATTGTGCGTGGAGGTTGGTGGGGGATGTGTGTGTATGTATGGGAGGTATGTAGGTCTGGGGGTGCCCCGCCGTGCCCCCGCTGCCCGACCCGCTCTGCCTCCCGGCGCGGGGCAGCCCAAAGTGCCATGCACGAGCACGAGCAAAAAAACAACAATAAAAACAAAAAGAAGGGATGAAGAAAGTAATTTCCCCGCGTGGCGCTCACAAAAGCCGGGGAAACCCGACGGCGGAGGAGGGGAGGGGGAGAGGAGATCATCCACCAACCGCTATTAAATATTCATATTTCCCCCCAGTCACCAGCTCCAGATGCATCTTCAAAGCCGCTTGGGCACGCCGAGGGTGCCGGCCTGCTGGCACGGCAGGGGAGGTGACTCCGCGGGCGCGGAGGGCCGCAGAGGCATCGCCTCGTCCTTTCCCCTCCCAGCACGGCCGGCCCAGGCAGGTCCGCCTCCGCGAGCTCGGCATGGCCAGCGCTTGTCGCTTCGTTACCGTCATTGCTACGGTACCATAAAATCCCACGGGCACGCAGGGCTCCCGCAGGTGCTCAGCGCAGCTTTTCTTCTCCTTCAGCCCCTGCCGGGGCTGGAGGCGCAGGACGGCTTTTTGGGAAGGGGCGGCGCTGCCCTTCAGCGGAGCCCGCGCACTCCTGCGCGCGTCTGCGCGCCCCGGTGAAGGGTCAGCCCCAGGTCTGAGCTCCCCGTCGGACCTCTCTCCCCCCCCCCCCCCCGAAAAATGCTCCCCTGCCGCACAACCTCTGCGGGCATGGGGTCGTGAGGGTGGGAAAAAGGGGTGAGGGCAAGCCAGCCTGGCAGGGACCTGGGCCAGTGGGACCCCTGAAAGAAGCAGAGAGCCCCCCAAAACTGTCAGCAGGTGCAGGCAGCGGGCGAAGAACAGCCCCTGAACTGCTGCTTCGCCCTCTTAAATGAGCCATTCACTTAAAGGCTATTACTGGCGAATTAATAAATTACACAGCGAATTATTAAATCCAGATAATTACAAGGAATAAGTAAGTAATCATTAGTTATCTCAGCTAATTACTGTGGGTCAGAGCGAGCGAGAATGTGAAATCCTCCTCGGGAATTGAAATTAACTTTGCACAGTGAGTCTCTGCTTGACATCCCCAGTCTGTAGGCACATGGCAGCTCCCCTGTGAGCTCGGCTTTCTATTTAACTTGGAGAGAATGGAAATAAAATTAAGTGGCGATGTGATAATAGGAAGCTGCTTAGAAAGCAAACGCGGTGGGTTTTATTTTTTTTCTACGTTTTACTGCCTGAAGATTGACTGCTCTCTGGTTTCCCAAAATTAAAAACCTGAGGCAATTGGTCGACTTCCCCCAGTACCTGCCTGTCCAACACATGCAGATTATAACAAACGAAAGGACAGGAAGGAACCGGAGGAAGGGGGGGGGAGGGGGCTCCGGAGGAGCCAGGCCGGGCACCGGGCATCCCTCCGCTGCCGCTCGGCACCGCTGCCCTGGCCGGGAGGGGATGAGGCCCCGCCGTGCTTTGTTTTGGGAGACAATAAGCTGCCGAGCGCTAATGAGGGTCCCTGGCTCTTCCGTTGATCTTTCGCCAGATCTGTCCAAGAGTTGATGTGTGTACCCCCCTCCATAATCCATAACATCACTTCCCACTTTCCTTCACGTGCATCTTTTGTATACAGCAGATCTATAGGAGGAGACTCTCACTCTGCCCTCGCCGGGCTTTGCCCGCATTAAAACAACAACAACAACTGCTGTGAGTGCACGGCGAGAATAAGATCTCGGCTTCCTTGCCTTTATCAATTGCAATTAGGTGGACAGTCTTCCCCCTCTTCCCTTGCTCCAGTCTGGGATGATAATTAAAATTTAATGAAGCCTGGGAGTAGCAGAGCTCTGCCTGGGGACGCTGGAATAGAATATTTTAACTGTACATTTACACCAAGTGTCTGGCTTCAAAGACGTGACTGCTTTTAATCTCGAATTAGAAAACCACAGACCTGAAATTAAATATTAGCCACCCTCGGCCTCCCTTCCTTCCCGACACACTGTCACACCCCTGTTTGCTTGCCTTGCCCCACGACACGCACACCCCCAACGTCTCGGGTCTGCAATTACCCCCGCGTTAATAATGGATGGCTTCGGCGGGGCGCGGATTTTTTCCCTTTGCCTTTTTTTTTTTTTTTTTTTTAATCGGGTTAATGCAATATTAATTGCTCGTGGCTGCTATAAGAATGCGCCGCGTTTTCCAGGAACAAATCGATGGACCGGGTTAGCGAGCGCGAAGCAAGAGGCGCAGCCCCGGGGTCGCCCGGGTGAGTACGGCCGGCCCTCCGCGCCCGCGCAACTACTGAGCCCTGGCAGGTGGCAGCGCGCCCCGGCCTGCAGGGCACTGAAGGGGGAAAGATAGGGGGATCACGGGTTTTCCCCCAGAACCACTTCCCGGGAGGGGCTGGCTGGTCTGGGGTGGCGCGGAGACCCCGGCCTCAGGTCCCCGTTAGCGAGGAGGCGGCAGACGCCAGCAGCAGCCCTGCTCCAGGGCAGCCCGGTTGGTTTGTGGTCCGGACGCGTTAACGGGGAGGGAGGACGGGGACACAACACTCCCCACCCGCCTTTATTGTTATTGTTGTTTTGGCAGGTGGGACCCCTGCCCTCCCGGAGGAGGGAGACCGGACCCGCAGGAGCGGCCCCTGCCCCGCGGTTCGGCTCGGCTCGGCTCACCTCACCCGCAAGGTACACGCAGTGCTGGGAGGGAGGAAGAAACCCCGCAGGGAAGCGTGAAGGGGGATGGAGAAAAGGAATCCCAGCCCACCAGCCAAAAACAACCCCCAGGCAGGCTCCGAGGGCTCCCACAGAAAGCCGGCCTCCCCTCCCAGCGGCGGGGCGATGCTGACCCGCTCACAGAACCCCACAGGGTCGGGGGGTGTCACAAAACCGGGGGCTGCCTCCAGCTCCCGGACAGGGTGGGTCAGGCCTTCCCTGCCCTGCCACCGGCACTTGTTGCCAAAGAAAATTGAAAGCAAGGAAAAGAACATAATCAAACCAAAGACCTACCCCAAAGCTCAACACAACCTCCGAAGTGACACAACAGAGGGAGAAAAAAGGCCGGGACAGCCCCGGAGTGGGTGTGTGTGAGCAGGAGCCAGCCTCGCAGCTGTGCCATCCTTCCCGGCCCTGCCCCAGGGGTAGCGGAGGGTTGGGGCAGGGCCGGGGAGAGGGCCCAGAGCGACCAGCCTCGGAGAAGGACCAGTCTTCGGCCTCCACCTTCTCCCCCAGCAAACCCTCTCCGCTGCCCGTGGGGGCCGGTGCCACTGCGTACGGCGCGGAAGGGGCTGTGTGTGGACAGGGGTCAGAAGCATGCGCGGCGCCCCGCGGTGTTTCCGCAGCGGGCGGAGCCGGGGGCTGCGCACCCCGTCCGGCTGCAGCACAGCTCAGCGGCGCGGCGGAGCTCGGCTCGCTTCTCGCCTCCCCGTTTATACAGAACAGGATCATTTACATAAAGTCCTTAAGGCAAATAACTGTTGGGTCTCTAATTTATATCTGATCGAAAATTAGCCGTCATTATGCGCTCCATTAGCAGCGTCTTTAATGTGCTTCTAAGCACCATTTGTCAAGCGGCTTGTTAATATCCTTCAAGTCTTTAAAGTTGAGAGCTCATTAAAGAGTGCGCTCTGTTATTGATGTAATTTAGATGAGTTTGGAAGACCGAGCGCGTCGCGGACAACCTGGAGGAACGGGGAGAGGCTGCGGCTCCCCCCGGGGCAGCACCCCTCACAGTGGCGCAGGGCCCTGGGGAGTGGCTGCCCGGGGCACCTTCGTGGGCTGGGGCGCAGGGCATCCCCCGGCAGCGGGGGTCGAGGGAAACCTCTTTTGGCCGAGGCGGAGTAAACCCCCTTAATGATGCGCAGACACGGCTCCGGAGGCTCTTCCCTGTTCCATCGGAAGAGCATAAAGGCCAATAAATTACCTCTGCCGCTCGCCTGAAAATCCACCTACTCCGTCGGGGTTTTTCCCTCCGCTGCCGCACATCACTTTGGTGCCGCCTCAGGCGGTAGGGAGCCTCCTCCGCATCATTCTCCAACCGCCCCCCCCCCCCCCCCCCCCCCCATCTCCCCGATGTTCACCCGGCCCTGCTTGGCTGCGAGGCTCGCAGACCTGCCCCAACCCCCCCGGCAGCAAACCCCTGTGAAGAGCAGGCAGGGAGGGGGGAGGCCCGGCTGAGCCCTCCCCGTCCGCCCCGGGCGGAGCGGGAGCTTGCGGGGACGGTCTCCCCCTCCTCCCTGCGCCGCCGTCCCCGGGCTTCCCCCGGGCGAAAGCAATAAAGCGGGTAATTAGACTGCTAAAGACGGATGTAAATAACGGGGAGGAGGCGGCGGTGACAGCCGTGCGGAGGGGCCAGAGCCCCCGGGGAAGGGACACGGAGTCCCGCAACGCGCGCCCCGAGGCCCCGGAGAGGGGCCCCCGCTGCCCTGGCGGCATAGGCAGAGGTGGGGAGGCCGCCGGCAATCACTCTCCTCGCAGGGGGGGGCTCTCGCCATGCATCGGAAAGTCCCCTTTGCCCCCGGACCCTCCCAGAGCTTGCGGTCAGCGTCCAGGGCAGAGGGGCTGCGGGGAGAAAGGTATCAATGGCCTTTAAAACCCCGCTGCAACCTGGCACAAACACCCGCACCCCCAGGGGCTGTAACCGGCTTTCTGCCCAGGCCTGCATCAAATGGGTATTTACCTCACCACAGTCCTGGAGACACACTGACACCCGTGGGAACGTCCATCTCCTCTCCAGCTG